TTGAGGCTTCGAATAAAATTTTAGGCAATGTACATCGTCGCTTCCGGCTTCTTGAAAATCACTGATCACAACTGTGTCACATTGAGAACCCATAGTGAAGGTGACATTGTTGAAGATCGGTCCCTTGTTTGGCTTCCGCATAATCGCTTCATGAACAGGCGGAAGCACAACGTCGTATCTGTTGGATATTCTCAGGTTTGTAGATGTCCACTGCATTTGTCTTGAGTTGTCATAATATGTAAGCCTTGTTTAGGTGTACATTTTGTTTCGTGATGACTTCCTACAAGTTTTGGAAGACTATCCAGATTGCCGAAACAAAATACGAATTCACGGTGAGAACGTGTGAATGTGGGGTGCACGGTTGTGACCACGTGAAATGGGCCGCGCTTCCATCGTGAGCTAGACATACACATGATTTCATAGCTTGTGGACTTATGTGAATCATTTGATACTGTAGTCAGTGCTTCCATCATCCTAAAAAGCCGTGGTACCATGTAAATGAAAAATAGAAGCAAGGTTTTTCAATGAGCTGAGCGTTCAAACTCTGGGCGTTTTTGATCAATGGTATTAACGAGGCAGCCTTTGTTTCTGAGTAGTAGTAGTAGCATCAAACGCAATAGTTTGCTGCAACTTTCAACTCATCGGCTTCATACACTTCAATTTAGCCAGTTGATTTCTCCCTATTGGTTACGATGCTAACCTCCCCTTCAAAAAGCGAGAAAGTGTCGGGTGCAGAACAAACACCACAACTGACGACGACCTCCAATTATTAGGTCATCTCATTCAAACATGTCCAGACATCTAGAGAAATGGTGGGAAAAGTAAAAGAGCTAGAGCATTCTGCTTGCTTTTGTTTTTAAGCTAGCACACCCAGCTACGGTATACCCTAATTAAGTTTGTAGTGCCGCAGGAGGAAACACTTAAACACATAAAAGAACTTCATAGTGACCCAAATCGAGGTGGAATTTCCAAATGATTGGTGACACACGTAAAATTCGCAACTCGAATTCTCTGTGTGCTGGCTCAGCTTACGCGTGATACAGTTCGTCGAAG